AATTTTATCATCGTTGGGCTCATCGAATGAACACAGGAATGAACATGATCGTAGCTTTTCTTTTTCTATATCCACTGAAAATGATTCAAACTTGAATCGAAACGTTTGGAGTTTGTAATAAAAATTGAAGTTTTGTAATAAAAAGTGTTAATTGCGCACTGTTAACAGCGTTAATTCTCATTTGTCTTATTGTTTTCCAGTGTAATAAAAAAAAACAGTCTTTATGACAAAAATATTTCTCTTAAGCTGAATTTTAAAATCTGAAAATTTTAACTTTATTAGTTTAGTAATATAGATATTAAATATTTTGCTAAAATAATAATTTTAAACTAAAAATTGGACAATGTAAGTAGTTTAAAGTTTAATAGTTTGAAAATTGAAAAAATCAAAAATTAAAAATTAAATGAACATTCTCGAAGAATATTAAAATATAAAAAGAAACTAATAGCTGAAGAGTCGAAAGGCCGATAAAATAAGTCAAAACTTATTTTCCTTCTTCCCATTCCGGTCGATAAATTATATGGCGTTATTTTCAGGATAAGTTTGATAAAATCCACACTGGTTTCGCAGCGTGAAAAACGACTTGGATGAAAAAAATTGTAAAAAATATAGGTCGTACGCTCGCAAAACGATAGCCCGCAGGATTCAAATCGAAATCCTTGATAAATTACCTAAGAATGCGAGGAGGGAGAAAACGAAGGAGAGGGTGAGATGCTTTATGCATCTCTGCATTTTACAAGTCGGACATTTTTTTTCGGCCACTTCCAATAAATTGTTGATCTTTTCTTACGACTTGGTAAGGCGATGTGCCGACGAAAATGAGTCTTAAAGTTCGAACAATAACGTCATGACTCCTTGATAAATTTCCGAAAGTCTTATCTTATTATCGCCCATTTACAAAATAAATGATAAGTAACGCCAAAATTTTTCATGAATATTAAATTAATTTTTATACTTCCATGATTTATGTTTTGCAAGAGAAAAAGAGAGAAGGGGATATTTGAAAAGATTGCAAGAAATATTCCGTTATTCATTAAAAATTATTTTAATCTCTCTCAAAATTGTTCGAATATTTAATATTTTCAATTCATGAATAAAGAAATATATAATATTCAATATATTTATATAATCATATTTAAAAAAAGGAAATTTATATTTAAATCATTTAATTTGAATTCTTTTTTTAGAGATCTTCTTTTAATGATATTTTATATTTTTCAACATAAATATTGACATAAAATGGAAAGAGAAAGTATTGTAAAAAAGAAGAAGTCCACATGCAGTGGAAACTAGTATTGTAAAAGAGAGGAGCATGAAGATGCAATCTGATGCATATCAGTGTTGAAACGTCTGATTGCAACGCGGACCAATTTCACGAACGAGACAAGTTTCTTGGCTACATTATATAACCTCTATGGCCTGATTTTATCATCAGATGAAATGCTGACAATTTCGAGTCCTGTCACCTGTTGCATCAAAACGCTTCCTCAAATGCATTATTAGAATTACAGCCGGGTTTATCTTATGAATCCTCGCTCGATTATTGAGCCTCGATGAAACTATATGAGTTCATCGTTGTCGATTACCTATTCAAAATTCAGGGATTTATTATCGCAGTCTTTGTATTGTAATCATAACTTTTCTAAGATGTGATTGGAAATCGGTTTTTCTAAAAATTATTCCTCGACAGTAACAAATAAAGAAAATATAAACTTTTTTCAATATAATAGTTTTCAAAACAATTTTAATTTTATTTTAATATAGTTTTTAATTGAGATTTACTTAAATTAGAATCAAAATTATATTTTTAAGAATTATTAAAATTTTATAATTTTTTGCTAAGAAAAAATTAATTTATCCATTTTATTATCTTTATAATTATGGTGATCTTAGTTTTATAAAAAGGAGATAAAAAGGAAAGGCGTGTGCCACGACGGGGACCACAAATCAGTTGTAAAAATCCGCAATTATTTTTGCGAAAAATATATATTATACTTCAGCCAGGAATCAAATCTGGATCTCCTGCTTACCGGGCAGACATCTTATCTTTTCCACAGAGGCATGTGATATTTATCGCAATAACGTCTTTAGAATAACACGTCAACAATTCAATGATACACATATACATAAACCCCCAATTTTATAATAAACATTCGTTTTCACCAAATATGAAATAACTAGTAAATAATTCAATTTATCAATATATAATTATGAAAACAATAATTTACACATGCGTTTGAATCGGTCGTTTTAATTCTGAAGTTTTGTTTTTCCTTTTTTCTTTTTATGAACAAAAATTATTCGAGCCGAGAGTTGCGATTTATTGCAATGCATCTGAGTTCTAGTCTAGAAATTAGTTTTATAACGGAAGCGGAACCGTCGAGTTATTTATTGCAGGTTTTCGAAAAGAACTGGCGACTGCATCGGATGAACGCGTATAAAAGGATTCATTTAAATATTTAACAGATATCACAGCTTATCACACAAGAGTATGTCGTGTGATTTGAAAGAAAAATTATTATTTGAAAAATTTCGCATGTGCATGCACTAATAGGGATTTAAAATATATTTCAAACACTCGGTTACGTATTTATAACTAAGCAAGTTTTCTCGACATATTTTTGTATTCGCTATGTCTCTTCGTTCGTTGTCTCTTTCGATCGGGAAATAATTACTAAAAGATCGATTTGTACCGTATCTATTTCGAAATCTAAAATATTTGAGAGAACTCTGTGAAATTAATTTCAACTAGATGATGTATGCGCTCTCCCTTCCCATTCATTTATCGCAATGTCTCTTTCTAGATAATAAACTGAACTTTTTTTCTTCTTTTCGTTTCACATCAGATAACAGCCAATTTTTATTCTAGTAACAGTATAATTCTGATGCATGTGCGAACGTTCCGTCGTGTTAAAAGGCGTCTTTAATTGTCTCCTTTTGCTATGCTTTTCATAAAAATTTGCGGGTATCGATAATTTTGAATTCAAGCTCCGAATTAAGTTTTTCATCAAGTCACTAAACTTTCAAGTTCATAATATTGATATTATAATATTGATATTATGAACTTGAAAGTTTAATTTCTTAGATTGACTGATAATGAAAAACTTATTGATAATTAAAAAATGAAAATGTTTTAATTAAAAATGTTTTAAATCAACCTGATCCAAGTAAGAAAGGAGAGTGTGCGTCACGGCGTGTGCCCGACCACGAATAAGTTGTGAAAATTCGTAATTATTATTTTTGCGAAAAATATCATCTCAGTCAGGAATCGATTTTAGATCGCCTGCTTACTGGCAAGTATCTTATCTTTTCGACTATCGAGGTAAATGGTGAAATATCCTTACATATCTTTTTCAGTAGTCATGTTGCAACTTATTTCAATTAAATATGTTATCGACTGCATGCATTAATAGATTAGTTCAATACAAAGATATAAAGAAGATAAGATACGTGAACAGTGTAAACTGTCAATGCAAATCTTTTAGTGATTTTGTAAGAAATATAATAAAAAAATGCATGACATCATTACAAAATTACCTTTTTAAAAAAAGAGTGTCCTTTGAGTGTTCTTTACTGACACCCTTTTAAAAAGAGTGTCAAGTAAAAGGACATACGTGTCCTACGAGCGGAGTTATTGCTACACAAAGATCGATTCGTAAATTTTTACTTTAAGAAATGTCGTCATTATTATTTATGTATAAAAGATTTGATATCAATAATTGGCGCCAAGTTATAGTCTTATAAACATTAAGCTACAAGTCCATCTTAGCCAAATTATATATTTCATTCGTATAAAAGATCTAATATATCACTATTTTTAAAAAATAAAATCCGATAAAAATAAAAAGCGGTAGTATCTTTAATTTAGAAATAATAGAAACCAAATGATATGTATTTTTATTCATTCAAGACTTTTTTTTCTAAGTAATAGTAATTATTTAGCTTTAAAATATTATGTAACAAAATTACTTTACTCAACCTAAGTTTTTATCACAAAAAATTAAAAAGTAACGGTACAAAATAAATGATAAAATTTTATTTAAATAAAAAAAATGTTTATATAAAAACACTTGGCGCTGCTCGACCGAATACAGAAAATAATGAAAATGTAAAACTAATGATGAAATTATCTGAATGTTATAAATATATATATAGTTACGCACAATATGCACGGATGCACAGATGTGCGTATGCATATGTGTGTATGCGTCCGTACGTGTGTGCATAATACACACAATACATAAACAATACATTAATATTAATACAACATACTAAGACTCCTGACTAGTCACCGCGGCCATATTGGAATTGTGACATCATAAGCAAGAAACGATACATAAAAGTTTGCTATACTTTTCCTGCAAATAAAGAGACGTTGCAATAAAATAACACTTGAGATGGCTTTAAGACACTTGTAAAAACGGAACGCTACAATCTTTTTACTTCCTGACAGTCAATAAATAGTCGTAAAAGGCACATGAAATGAAGCCTATTCCGGCAGAAAACGCACGATTTGACAGCTGTTGAAAGAAAAATATGCTTTCACATATAA